CTCATGGGGGGATAAAGTGGGGGAATGAGAGTGCCCTGACTATTTTACTCAGCTAATGTGGGTTTTATTCAAATTAACTGAACTGAAAGACCCCAAATTCTCTCCTGGCTGCAGTGCAGCCCCAAGGGAGAACGTCTGAGATGCTTTTCACACCCAGTTCTGACCCACAGGCAGCAAAGGAGCATCACAGGAGCACTGCAGACACAGCCCAACACAGGGGATCTGGGTGAGGATCTGTTGGACCTGATGGTCCCCACACACAAATCAACATCACCAGAGGAAGGTTCCCTCCACCAGCCACAGCCTTGGGCAACCCGGGCACTAAACAGCAAACACATCCTGCTGTTTATGCATTTATCAAGAATAAAATCGGGAAGAGAAGTGATGTTTGGCAATGAAAAAGTCGTATTTCAGAGCACTGGGATGTCCAGGGGCTTCCCTTTTCCCTCAGCAGCTCCCAGTAGATGGCAGCATGTTATTGCAGATTCCTCCTGCCTGCAACAGCATCAGAAATCCCTAAAAATCCTCTGTCTGCCAGTCAGAGCAGGAGAGGAGCCCAAAATGCTGAGCATCCCAACCACAACTGTGCCCAGAAATAAAGCACCCCACGAAATCCTGCTGCTGCAGCTCAGACACTGCTCCCAGGGGTGTTTTTCATGAGTTCAGACATGTCCTGGTGGTGTTTTCCAATTTTCCCTATGTAGGAATCAGAGCTGGATGGGACAACCCTTCCACATGCACGGATGTTTGAGCTGGCACTGGGAACTGTAGCACAAGGACATCTCTGCCTCTTGGCACTAATCCTAAATCTGGGGGTGAGGCCTTAAACCTGAGGCACAGGCCCCAAACATGAGAGTCAGGCCCTAAACCTGAGGGTCAGGCCTTAAACCTGAGGGTCAGGTCCTAAACATGGGGGTCAGATCCCAAACCTGAGGGTCAGGCCTTAAACTTGAGGGTCAGGTCCTAAACCTGGGGGTCAGATCCTAAACCTGAGGGTCAGGCCCCAAACCTGGGGGTCAGTTCCTAAACCTGAGGGTCAGTTCCTAAAACTGAGGGTCAGGTGCTAAACCTGAGGGTCAGTTCCTAAACCTGAGGGTCAGGTCCCAAATCTGAGAGTCAGGCCCCAAACCTGAAGGTAATACCCCCAAACCTGAGGGTCAGCTCCTAAACCTGAGGGTCAGGCCTTAAACCTGAGGGTCAGGCCTTAAACCTGAGGTGCAGGCCTTAAACCTGAGGTGCAGGCCTTAAACCTGAGGGTGAGGCCTTAAACCTGAGGGTCATGCCCTTAACGTGAGCGTCATACCCCCAAACCTGAGGGTTAGGCCCTAAACCTAGGGGTCAGGCCCTAAACCTGAGGGCCAGGCCCTAAACCTGGGGGTCAGGCCCTAAACCCGAGGGTCTCTCTCTGCTGCTGTGATTCACTCAGATATTAAAAATAAAATCAGGGTGCAGATGAGGTACCAGAGCAGAGCTGAGGCACTTTTTCCCAACCCCACACTGGTCCTTCCCACCACAGACTGGTTTGAAAGGAAGCTCAAGCTCCATCCTAAACTTTTACAGAATCACTGAATCATGGAATGGTTTGAGTTTTTTCAGTGAACAGCTGAGAATGGAATGATATTTTATTTAAAGACAAGTATGAAGCAGAAACCTCACCATTTTTTACTATCTCTGATGAGATCTTTGCATAAAGATGCAAGAGTAATTTTGGGCAGGGATAAAGGGGGAGTAGGAAAGAAGGCACAAGGGAAAAGATTTGAATAGGAATTCAAATTTGAAGCTTAATTTATCTCACTAATGCCATAAGTCCAATTCTGGCTGTGAAACTTCCGAAATCTGGAGGTATTTGGAAGTCATGGCCAGTCCGAGACTTTGCAGCACAAGCCTGGGTATTACACACAGGGAGAAAATCCTACTTTTTCTTTAATAAAGTAGTGGATGCCCTAATGACCAACCACATTTCTGTGGCCCAGATACCGAACACACACACATAAGCTAAAAAACCTATTAATATTTGCAGGAAATTTAGCAAATGCCACAAATCCTTTGTGACACCTCAGCAGTCAGAGCCAGCCTGTTTTACCCTGTTTTCTCCTGGTGGAAAAACCTCCTTCCTGGAGCTCACACAACTTGGCAATTTATTTTTTTTTCCCCGATGGAAATGTGCTCCCACTCTGCTGAGACTTTCCCTGCCTTGAACCGAGAAGCTCAAAGCAAAACTCATTTGAAACACATTTTCCCCTTGCCATGGGGCCATTCCCAAAGCTCCAAACTGCTGCTGTTGTCACCTGCAGGTGACAGAGCTGGTGGAAAACGGGGTTTAAACAGCAAAAGCCTCGCCAGAACCAACAAGTGTTAGCTGGGTTAAGTTTTGTTGTGAATCCTCCACGTGATTTTGGCTTCAGAGGAGAAAATTCTTCCCCCTGCTGCTTCCCTGGTTGGGGTTTCTACCGCCTAAGTCACTGAGCAGAGAAGAAAGGGGATGCCCAGTGATCTTTGAGTCCCATAAAAAGCCTTGAAGATGATATCCACAGTGAAAAATAAAAGCAAAATCAAAGGCAGGACAGCCAGGAAAGTCCTAAAAGTCTTCTGGTCCTTTCTCAAATGGTTTGTCTTTCCTATAAACTTGAACACATCAGACTTCAAATGTGTTCACTTGCAGGAAAAGACCACACAGGACCTGTCCCAGAATTCAGATTTAATGTCTGAAAGGAACTGTGTGAAGAGTGATGTGTTGATTGTTAATTGGGGCTAATTGATTCTTGAACCCTGAGCGTCTTGGACACGAAAATATCAAGGCAGGGTTGGAAACCTCTTCTCCTGTTCAGTCAGGATCACCCAATTCCCTGGAGAAGTGAGGCAGGGAGGGAATTTATTCATCCCAGTCACCAGGAGGTGCAGGGGGAAGGATGAGCAGGTGGGTGGGGATTTCTCCAGCAGCTCTGCCACTGCTCCTGTCCACAAAATCACCACTTGCTCTCCCTTGTCATCTTTAAAAAAGGCAAAACTGAGAGTTCAAACAGCACAGAGCATTTACAGACTCCTGCATGAGCCATATCACAGGGAGACAAATCACTTTTATCCCACATTGATGTTATTTTCTGCTTTCTGGGGGTGAATTGTTGTGTTTGTTTAATGGTTTGAACAGACCTCAGTCCCCGGGGTACCCTGAGAACTTGCTCAGGTCATTGTGAATTCAGGTGAGCAGGGCAGGGTTTGGATGCACCAGAGCCTTGTTTATGGAAAAGAACCTGGATAATAAGAATTCAGGAGTTATCTGAAGGACAAAAGAATAAAACACACTCTCCAGATGATGGAATTATGCCCTAAAAGAAAGAGGGAAGAGATGCAGCCATGAAAGCTAAAAAGAAGTGTTGATGAATTTATATGATGATGGGAAGAATTCTGCACCCCAGGGACCACAAAGATGCTGTAGCCAGGTGGGAAATGGGTTCTTCTCCCAAGGAACAAGGGACAGGACAAGGGGAAATGGCCTCAAGTTGTGCCAAAGGGAGTTTAGATTGGATATCAGGGAAAATTTCTTCATGGAAAGGGTGGTCAGGCACCGGACCTGGAGGGATTTCAAAGCCCTGTGGATGTGGCACTTGGGGACACGGGTCAGTGGTGGCCTTGGCAGCGCTGGGGAATGGTTGGTTTGGATCTCAGGGGTCTTTTCCAACCTAAATGGTTCCATGGTGCAGCTCAGGTGTCTCTTTTGAGCTCCACAGCTCTTGCTGATGGTCCCCAGCAGCTCCAACGTGCAGGAGAAAATCTGTTGCTGTGTAACTGCTCTGTGTTTGATGTTGTGAAAACTCCTGGTCTTCATCCACCCAGCAAAAAAACCTGGGCTAATTAAGCATCTCAACAGATGGGGGGGGGGGAAATATCCTTTAAAAAAGGAGAGATCGGATTTGGGAAGTGTATTCCTTGGAGAGTTTGTCATGGATCTTTCTCTCTCCGCCTTCTCCAGGCCTCAGCGGTCGTAACTTCCCCACATCAATGTTATTGTGGAGGAACTAATTCAATAATGAGATCATTCCCCATATGACAGCCCAGGAAATGAGGCTCTCAGTCACACTCTTCCTCATCCAGCTTCTCTCCTGATTCAGTCTCCAAAAACCAAACGACAACACCAACTATTCCCAGTGCTCGTGGGGGGTCCCATCCAAGTGCCGCACGCAAAAACTCCCTTGTTTGATCTACATCCCTTCATTTCCAAGTTCCAGACTCTTCCTTTTGCTGTTTCTTGGGCTCAGCTGTTCATTCCTGAACCAGCTGCTGCCACAGAGGATCAGGAAGATCAGCCAGTGCAGTGACTCAGAGTCAGCACCCCCAGTCCAGGAGTAAACCACAGCTGAGTGTTTGCTCTCACCCATTTGCTTACTCCTCAATCCTCCTTTTGTGGATAAATCACCAGGGGGTCTGTCACATCCAGTTCTGGGTTTATTTTGCTCTTACTACTACTTTAAGATCAACAGAACTTGAAGGGAGACATCTCTTCAAGCCCACCTGCATCTGGCCACCCTGAGGTTCACACTCTGTTCCTGTGAGTTGCTCAAAGTGTCAGCCTTCAACCAACCAAAGTATAACTTATCTGGGCAGGAATCCAAGCCCAAACTTCACCCTGTTTGAGTTCAACCTACAGCCTATACCTAGAAGATAGATATCTTCTAGATAACTTTATATTGAGAAGCTTTTCCTTGCCTGGGTTTTGGTCTTGGGAGGAGCCCCAAGTGCAGATGCTTTGGTGGAACCCCACGCCGAGCTCAAGTGCTCCATGTTTGGACTTGATGACCTTGGAGATCATTTCCAACCTTAACCATCCCCTGATTCTCTGAACAACCAGGAGAAAGTAAACATTCCAATCAACACCTGGATGTGTTGAACTCGGTGCTCATCCCACGGCGAGACTTTCGGGAGGAGCTCCCTCTGCTTCATGTGGACACCAAAACAACAGCAAACCCTACAATAACAAGCCCACCACGGGGCTCTGTGCTCACCTGGCAAAGTCCAGGTCGGCCTCCCGGGACATGGTGATGTTGGTCAGGTTCTGCTGGAGGATGAAGATGTTCCGACACATCTTCTTGATGCCGGACTCGCTGATGCGCTTGAAGTAGTGGGCGCCGTTGATGAGGATGCAGGAGATGAGGTGGCCCAACCCTGGCAAGGGGAAGAGGAAGGTGTTTAGTGGCAATAATTCATCGTAAAACCCGGGAATGAGCACTGTTATGTGGACTGGAACAAGGGATAACTGGAAACAGCCCCTGTGCGTTTTAGGAGGACTTCCCTCAAGGTTCCCTTCTTTAGTAAAAATACAAAACTGCCCCGAAAATCAGAATTGCAGAACCTCTGATATCTCCAGGGCACTTCCAGGCTTTGGAGAGTGTCCCTTTCCATCCCTCTGTCTGGGCAGAGCAATGGAGCACTGCAGTTCCTGGAAGATCACAGTGGTTGAATCTGTTTTCAAGGGTGGTGTTTTCCCTGGAAAACTCACGGTCTCCAGGAGCAGAAATGAGCTGCACCCAAAGCACTTGGTGCACAACCTCTCTCTGATCAGTCTGGAACAGTTTCTTGTGTCTGAGGGATGTCCCTGCTGGGACATCAAGGACACAGCTGGGTGCTGAAAGTCACAGCCACCCCCAAAATGATGGATCCATTCCTGTCACATCACAACCACTCACGTCACATCAGAAAGAGCAAAAAGCTCACCCTGATTCCCTCAGTGCAGAGGCCTGGACAAGCCCAGATGCCAATTAAAAGTCTGAATTAGGAATAATTCATTATTACAGCCAGCATGGGGTGTATGTAAACCCCAAAACTGGGCTGAAGAGGGGCCTGTGTATGATGAGCATGTGGAGGAATTTCAACCTCACGGCTCAGCAGGATGGGAACGGTCCCCGTGGCTCGGCAGGATGGGAATGGTCCCCGTGGCTCTGTGTGAAGATGTTTCCCTCTCCTCACACAGACATGGGACACCTGAGTTGTTGGAGGGGCTCCAGAACGTGATGGTGATGTGTTTGCCACATATTTACAGAGCTCGAAAAACAGCTCCATAAAAAACTCTCTCCCTGCAGCTACGTGGGAATGGCAAGGAATCACACAAGCCTTGGGATCATGGAATCACAGAAGGGTTTGGATTGGAAGGGGCCTTAGAGAGCATCCAGTTCCAACCCTGACGCTTTCCACTGTCCCGGGTGGCTCCAAGCCCAGTCCAACTCAGCCTGGGACACTTCCAGGGATCCAGGGGCAGCCACAGCTTCTCTGGGAAATCCATTCCAGCCTCTCCCCACCCTCCCAGACAGCAATTCCTTCTCAATATCCCATCTATCCCTGCCCTCTGGCACTGGGAAGCCATTCCCTGTGTCCTGTCCCTCCCTGTCTTGTCCCCAGTCCCTCTCCAGCTCTCCTGGAGCCCCTTTAGGCCCTGCCAGGGGCTCTCAGCTCTCCCTGGAGCCTTCTCTCCTCCAAGTGAACATTCCCAGCTCTCCCATCCTGGCTCCAGAGCAGAGGGGCTCCAGCCCTGGGAGCAGCTCCGGGGCCTCCTCTGGACTCTGCTCCAACAGGACAACTTTTGTAGGATCAGCAGTGGCTAAAACAAGGTCAGCCTTGCTGCTGTGGATTATTTTGGACATGGGGTGCATCTCCAGCCCCCACTTTCTGCTGGCTTTGACCAACACCAACACCCCCATATCCCACAGCACAGCCAAGAACTGGTGTGACAGCTCAAATAAACACAGGGGAGATGAACCAACACATGGGTTATATTCCCCCAGGTAACCACCACAGATGAGGCATCAGAGCAGCTGCTGTTCCTTAAATTTAGTTTCAGAAAAGGGATGGCTGCGCTTGGGGTGGGAACTGTGCCAGAAGAGAGCTGTGGGTGATACAAACACGTGTCCTGGGGCTTCCTGAGGAAAAACTGAGCTGCACTTACATCAGATCACTGCTGCCCCACCTGGCATGGGGCCCTCGGTCCCGGTCAACCAGAAATCCTCTGGAGGCATCTTGGGTTTCTGAGTGCCCTGTGTTTGGAATCCTGGAATGGTTTGGGTTGGAAGGGACCTTAAGGATCATCCTGTTCCAGCCTCATGGGCAGGGACACCTTCCACTATCCCAGGTTGCTCTAACCTGGCCTTGGACACTTCCAGGGATCCACGGGAAGTCACAGTTTCTCTGGGCAACCTGGGCCAGGGCCTTCCTACCCTCTGAGAGAAGGATTTCTTCCTAAAATCTAATCTAAATCTCTCCTATTTTAGTTTAAAACCATTGCCCCTTATCCTGTCCCTCTGTGCCTTGTCCCCAGTCCCTCTCCAGCTCTCCTGGAGCCCCTTTAGGCCCTGCAAGGGGCTCTCAGGTCTCCCTGGAGCCTTCCCTTCTCCAGCTGAACCCCCCTCAGCTCTCTCACCCCATCAAACCCCCGTTTCCCACAGGGATCTCACTTATCCCATCGGTGCCAACAGCCGCTTAATCCACCAAGGAACGCCGTGGAGCTTTGGGATGAGGACAAAAACCGCTTTTTTTGAAGACCCAGAGTGCTGTGGGAGGTGCCTGACCTTCGAAGATGTACTGGAACTTGTGCTGCTGGAGGCTGGCGCTCATGGCCTCCTCGATGGCGCTGATGTCCTTGTTGAGCCTCACCACCAGCGGGTCATAGTCCATGCTCTCCACGTTGGCCACGATGGCATAGTTCCCCTGCTTGGCCAGAGGGATCAGGTAGTGGAAGCAGTGAACCCTGCAAAGAAAAGAGAATTATCAAAAAATAGGGTTTTCAGAGCGTCGCTTCTTTGTTTTCCTTCCGGTGGCGTTAAAAAAAATAACGGCTTTATTTAAAAAGCTTAAAAAAAAAAACCACCTTTATTTAAAAAGCTTTGTTTAAAAATGTATTTAAAGGTAACCAACTTCAAGGACTGGGTGGTTATGTCTGAATTAAACACCCCCTCCTCTTGTCATTGTCCCACCTCTCTGGGGGTTTTCCTGCTTGTTGCCATCCCTGTTTTCCTGGATTCCATTTGCACACTGATTTGTGCTTGACCCAAGAGTGGTGAGAAGCCACAGGGGCCAGAACCCCATCCAGGCCGGTGCCTTTTCCATGAATCCAGGTTATCTCAGGCCTCATATCCCATTACAGCACAGCTGGAGAACTGCTCCATTTCCATCCTTTTCCCAGTCTTTCCCTCCAATCCGTGCCTGCAATCCCGAGCCCAGCAGATGATGGATGGTAGGCTGAAGGGCTGCTGACAATAACTGATGTGGATTTTTTTTTTGCAGAGCTCCACCCTGACTTCCCCAGGGCTCTGCCTGCGTGCACAGGGACACAACACGGCTCAGGACGTGTCACAGGAGAACAAACTGATGATCCATCAATTCTGTGACATCTATTTGATGCTTCAGAGGAAAAGGGAAGCAATGAAAATCCACCTGGCCCATACAGTGCATCAGGGAAAAGCGTCTTCCCAGCCCTGCAGCGGACAGCTGGCACCCTGAAGAAAGGCATTTGCTGCCTTTGATCTCTGCATGGGAAGTCAGAGACTTCATGGAATTCTCCTCAGCCCTTTAAAAAAAAATCCAGCTGGCTCCCCAGTTCCTGCTGCTGTTTGAAAAAGTAGGAAGAAAAGCTGCTGTTTGTGATCCGAAGAGCGGCGGCTCCTGAATGTGGAGACACCCGGTAAAAACTTTGGCACCATCTCCAATGGGATGCTCCTGGAAAAGGCTTGGCCAGGGGCACTCAGGGGTGGGTTAGGAACTGGCTGAGGGCCCAGAGAGTGGTGGGGATGGAGCTGCATCCAGCTGGGATCCGTCCCCAGGGATCAGTGCTGGGCCCAGTCCTGTTTAATATCTTTATTG